ACCAGCTGGGATCAGATGGGGCCTTGAGGGTCAGGGTTGTGGAAGCAGCAGAACCATTGCCCCAAACCGGCAAGTGCATTTGCCTCTGCTGGCTGGCTTTCAACAGGGGCTGGATGGCCATCTGTCGGGGATGCTTTGATTGTGAGTTCCTGCATGGCAGAATGGGGTTGGACTGGATGGCCCTTGGGGGCTCTTCCAACTCTATGATTCTGTGATTCTATGACTTTGGGCACCATGGAGCTCTGGCATAGCTACCCTTGGCCTGAGTTTAGGTTGCACAGCTACTGAACAGGAATATCTAGGCCTTGGAGCCTTGGAACAGAAACCAACCAAGTCTTGTGGCAACTTCAAGGCAGGTGAATTGAGGACAGCCTAACTATCACAGCAGGAATGGCTGCTGCATGTGTGGCCAGGGCCCAAATCCTGGGCTGGAAGGAAGCAGTTATTGAAGAAGTTAGGTTTCCTTGCATGCTTAGAAGAAGATGTCCAAGTGGGTCAGAATTACAGCTTACCATGGCTCCTGTGCACTCTTCATCCTTCTTCCCCACTTTCCCCTTAGCCCACAATTAAAATCCAGAAACCCTTTGTAAGATTAGATTTTGGCCCATAGATAGGAAGATGGTTTGCCACTCCTGCAACAATTCAATGGTGGGCGAGGTGAGGCGAAGCGAGTTGAGTGAGGCACGGAAATATTAATTATGGGGAGTAAAGGGAGAGCAATAACTGCAGCGAAAGAGGCAGAAGGATTGCAGCAATGTTTGTCTCCTTGCCGGAAAATCTCACCATCTACACCTGCAGCAAACGCAGATTGATAGCTCTTTGAAAGAAAAGCTCAGTGCCCTTCAGCAAGGCTTTCCAGTGCATCAGGCAACACAAGGAGTTCCTGGACAGTACAACAGGAACTGACCCTATAGAACCAATAGGAAGAAAGTGCCAAGGATATCTATCAGTGAGGAAGCACCCTGGAGGACCGCCATTGGACGTTATCACACGGGGGCAAATCTGCTGGTTAATCCACAC